AGTAGTATATGCTGGGTCACCCGGTGCATCTGGAGTGAGTAATGTGTCTCCCATTATGTATCAACGGGGAGAGAAAATGTGTGAAGCCACATGCGTTTATGGTGACTCGGTAATAAGTGGCACAGACACAGTAAGACACAAAGCAGAGAACTTGGTTGTTCCCTCACTTCACAGGGGCAGAGGGGCTGTAAAGAGATCATTGTGCCTTGGCTGGGTTGAGCTGTGGAAGCTTTTCCAACCCCAATTTCTTCTACACTGTCATCAGGTTCCTAAAATGACATGCGGCAGTGGAAGACCAGGGCCCACCTCTCCCTGCTCTGGTGAGTCATGTGTAATGTGGGTAAGGGAGATGACTGGGATTAGAAAAATCCCTGGGATCCTGGCCAGAAGAATATAACAATCTCAGGATATTTGAAGGTATACTGTCCAACATCGTTTGAACAATGAATCATAAACAGTTAAAAATCTAATGTTAAAGATTACTATAAATCATTTGCGTATACTAGGAGACTATTTAAATTTTTTTAAAAAATGGCTCCAAATGTGTGTAATTGTGTAAACCTCTATCCATTGTGTCGTTCCCTTCACCAGAACAGACCTGGGCACTGCTTTCTGAAAAATGAAGGCATAATGCCCACGTGTGAGGAAATCCTGAACTCTCCATTCTTTATAACTCTGTCCTCGACTCACCTGCACTGTTACTTGTTACATGTGAGAACTGGGTCGTTCACGTCATTTATTTTCAAACATGTTTCCAGGTATGATGCGATGCCAGGAGGCAGGGATTCAGGGTGTGAGATGAATGAATGGGAAGGGAAGGGAGTACCGAGTAATTGATGTGGGGTCTGCTGGGAGCGGAACTCGGAACAAAGCACTGAAGATGGAGAGAAAGGATGAATAAGAGATCCCAGAAGACTGAACCCAAAGGGCTTGGCGATCACCTGGGAGCAGGAGGTGAGCGTACCGAAGACTGCACGTAACCTGCAGAGTTCGGGCTTAGCCTTCTCGGTAGACGGTTGTGCCACTGGCCCAAGTCAGGAAAACAGAGGAGAGGTGGGCCTGGGGGGACATCACAATGAGTTCTGCTTCTGTCCATGTTGAGCGAGACCAGGGGACCTGAAGTAAAGGCCTCTGGTGGGCAGATACACAAATGGGCCTGGCCCCTACGGCAGGAGACCTAGATTCGGAAGCCAACAGCTCATACACAGGAGGTAGCTCACACCTTGGAAAGAGAAAAAGGGAAAGTAAAGGAAGGCAGCAAAGATGGGACCTTGGGATATACCAACATTTCAGGCGAGGGCAGGCAGGCAAGGATGATATCAGAGGTGCCAGGAAGGCCAGCACTCCCACTTCCAGGAAGGGAGAGGAGGCAACAGAATACAGCAAGGGCCAAGCCAGGTCTGCTGGAGCTGGCAGCTGATAGAGATACGTACAAATAAGGGGGGTGGGGCGGGGAGGTGCAGATACTAACCCCCCAAAAGAAGCAAACTTACCTGAAAAATGCCTCAAGGTCAAGCTTCAATCTCTACAAGGACATACACTTTAAAGTTACAATATTTACAAACAGACCCTTGTAGGCAAATACGCTGAGGCCAGTGGAATATATTCCCACTGATATGATCTGGGTACTTTTAACCAAAATCTTTTTTTAGTTTAGTCACAGCAATAATGTCTACGTCATTTCTGACTGCAGATAAGCAGATAAAGTAAATCAAAATTAACCAAAGCAAAGACAAGAATCTGGAAAACATTTTACTGGAATAAATTCAACAAGGGTTTGAAATTTGGTTTTATTTCCTTCTACATTGCAACTTGCAACAAAAAGGAATCATCAATAATAAAGCGGCCCTGTTTAGACATAAAAGTTTACTGAACTGCTCTCTGCTGACTTATTTGAGTTTATACTAAAGCTCCATTGTAAGGTAAATCTGCACTTACTTCACAACCCAAGCAAGTTTCTTTCTAATCCACATACCAACAAAAGCACGGTGTAGTACGAACTTTCAGCAGCGGGCTCAAGTGAATATTGTTCTTTATTAAGTAGCCAGAAAATGATACTCTAAGAGAGTCAGAAATGTTCATTTCTGTAAATAAAGTCCTTATTTGAACATTTGGGTCAACTTTCTTTTTAAAAACATGGGGATTTGAAAGGATTATAAACACACTGTGAGGTGTAATTGCATTCAATTACAAATAAATGGTAACAAATAAATAGTAAATTAATCTAAAGAAGCCCATATTTTGTCCTTAAAATGCTAGCATTTTTTCCTGTTATTTAACATTACAACATTCCAAAACTGCAAACACATGACAGGCCACACCGTATGTACTCTGTCCCTTGGATGACATGTTCTCTCCCTGCCAGGAGTTAAAACAAGCACTTCGAAGGAACAGCCTTGTGTTTTGATGTTGGTAATGGGTGGTTATTTTTTATTTGTTGGTGATAAACAAAGTAAATGGGGGGGGGGGGGGCTAAACTAAACCAAGTATTTCCTCACTCTGTCTTACATGCCTTGAATTCCATACAAAATGCTAAAGAAAGTTTCTTCTTACTAGTGCTCGGGACTCACGTTATTTAACGAGAATGACTCGCCTCTCTGACAGTATCTAGACAGGACACGTGTGAGCATTTATATCCAACAGTGCGGCTTGTTGAGATAAGATTCATCACAAAGATGTAAAGCTCGTACAATGAAGAGGACGTGATTCCTCCTGTCCTTATGAGGCTTGCCGTGCGCGAGGCGAGAGACACGTCTAAATATGTGATTGTCAATATAACAACAGATGCTGGAACACAAACACGAGCCAGACAGAGAATGTGAGCTGGAGATGGGGTCCTGAGTAGAGAAGTCTGTCTTGTCTACCAGCCCTGGCTACTACGAATGCCTCGACTCCTGCTTGGCCCTGACAATTAGCCACAGGGTCTGACTAGTATGTCACATCTTCCCAAAAGAGAGATGAGATGTGCTCATGAGCTGGCTGAGGAAGCGTCAGGCACATAGGAAATGCTATTGACTGCTAGCCGCTAACAGGGCCACACACCCTCATTCACCGTACCTCTCAGCATGTGTTAAACAGCAGTAGTATTCTGCTTCGCTAGTTCTGAAATGGAAACTAGATAAACGCAGCTTTCAGACCACATGGAAAGAGCCTATGCAAACACAAAACCCAGCATCACACTCCAAAATAATCGTTTGAAAGGTTCACCACAACCTTTTGATCAAACCAACACATTTCTTCAAACATTTAAAACATTGAGACTAAAATCCAACAAAAGAAGTTATTTAATAGCTGCAAGAGTAAATGAGAGAGAGTGGGAGAAGGTAAGAAAGGAAATGAAAGAGTGGGAAAAGATATCACTGTAAGATTGAGAAATTATTTTACGTTTTCTAAAACAAGTCTGAAAAGTCAAAACACTAAAAGTCAAAATATTAATAGAAATCATGGAATAAACCATTGAAATGTTCAACCTGGGAACATCAGTCCTCGAAGTCCAAGCCTTTCATTAGTGTATTGATTCACAACTCAAATGTATTGATTCACACTTCAGAATTGCCAATATTTTAAAAAGTGAATGTCTAGCCCACCCCAGTGTAGACAAAGCTGCTGGCTTGGTGGCGGGCCCTGGTCCCTGCAGTTTTCAGAAGCCCCCACAGTTCCAATTGGCAGAATCCTGGATGTATCACCTGTCCTCTGTCATGCCCTGAGGTAAGGAATGCCACCTCTCACCATCCCCCACACCATCACACCCCAAAATGATGGACTGATTGTAAGGCTGTGGCAGCACAGACGCAGCCCAGCTGCAGACCGTGCTCTCAGCAGAGGTGAACAAACTATCAAAGACAAAAACACAGCATCGCCACCCAGGTATCTGATGATACGGGCACATTTGATTTGCAAATAAATTCCCTGCATTTCAGAGGCCTCCGCTAATTAAATACCTAAGAGTGAATGCCTTATAAAAAAGGCTACTTTATCATTTTGATCAAAATTTACTTCAAAATAATCTCTCACTGATTAAGAAACACAAAGACAATGAGCTAGCAGTTAATAATAGCCCAATATTAGTTATGTATGTAACAAAATCTATGAAAGGGGACACTGGAGTCCCTTTTCTACAAGTCAGGGAATAAAAACACGTCTGCTTCCTTCTCCAGGATACGCGCCATCATCAGTCTCAAATTCGGTCACCGAGGGAGAGACCATCCGTGAAAGAATAGCTGGTCATACCATGTGTATTTATAAACAAAACAGTAAGATCAGCTAGAGCATTGCACACCAATATTGTTTTGCTTCTACATAAAATCAACCAGGACCAAACATATTAAACTTATTAAAATTTATTTTCAAACTAATGAGTTACCCATGTGTTGTGTGTTCACACCCAAATCAGTAATCTTAGACACAAACTTTAGAGGAGGAGAATGTGGACCTTCTATGAGGTGGCACACACCGCAGTCTTTTTCACCTGTTCTCATTCATGCCCTAAAACAGTGATGGCGAACCTATGACACGCGTGTCAGAGGTGACACGCGAACTCATTTTTTTGGTTGATTTTTCTTTGTTAAATGGCATTTAAATATATAAAATAAATATCAAAAATATAAATCTTTGTTTTACTATGGTTGCAAATATCAAAAAATTACTATATGTAACACGGCACCAGAGTTAAGTTAGGGTTTTTCAAAATGCTGACACGCCGAGCTCAAAAGGTTCGCCATCACTGCTCTAGGCCAAAGGGGCTGACTTCTCTGAGCTGAACTGGAAGGTCAATTGTTTTATGACCAAGACCTTTTGTGGGCAGGTTGCTACTGAGCAGAAGGGACAGAACAGAGGAACGCCTTGAGCCCTGCCTCCGACTCCCTTCTAGGAGTCAAGGTCAGGAGGCAGCTATGGCATCACTTGGCATGCAAGGGCCAACCTCACGAACCAAGGAGACCAAGTACTGATTGTTTTACCACTTCTCTATACTCCAGCTCCCATTCAAACCCCAGCAGCAGAATGTCCCCGTTAGTCATCTCTTATTTCTAACACTAAGCTTAATACACGACCATGTAGAAGAAAGAAAAAAATATAGAAACATATAAAGTCACCCATAGTCCCAGCCCAGAAATATCCACAGTTAACAGTTTGCTGGTTCTTACATGTGGTCCTTGGTGTACATTAAAAGGTCATTTCCTTTACAAAAAACTGGAGGAGGGGAGAGGGTCATAGTGCCCTATAACTTACTTTTATCACCATGAATGGGCCTACAGCATTAACACGTCAACCCACATAGAACCATCTCACTCCTTTCTGATAACCACAGCAGCCATTTCATTCACTGCAAACACTGCACACAATGGGAATACCTTAAAGAAAAACAACTTTCTTAACCTATTCAGGATCCAATTCCAATTTACCGTACGCTAGTTGTCACAAACTCTGCTCACTAATAAGCCCTTTTGGCAAATGTGTGATGAGCATCCCAACCTTCGCATCAACTGCCTGCACCCCTAGTGACATTAGAATATGGAAGATGCTTGTGTGCGTGTTGTGGGGCGGGAGGTAAGTAGGAGAAATCATGACCATGAACCCATAGTTGCTCACTAGACCGGAGAGAAATAGTCCATTAAGAGGGACATCCTGGAGCAGAAACTGAAACAGAATAACCTTTAAAAAGATGGAAATGAACTCTCGCTGCCCCTGGTCGAAACTATTGGGAGAAAGTCAGCCCTAAGCCCTGCCCCAGCTGACGCCACGAATCTTTCCACTGAGCTGACGGACCCTGTTGGGGGAATTCTGCAGCTGCAACGCTGAAATAAGCCCCCGATGAAGCGTAGCTGTTACCTTCACGTTTGCAGAGTAAGAAAAGGTCAAACCTCTGTGAAAGGAACAGTAACTGCGAAGCCCAAGCCACATGAAGCAGCCCTGGGGTCTGAGCCCCAGGAGCGCTGAGACACGGACACGTGAGCAAAGATGCCACTTTGGAAGTGAATCACCTAGACCTCGCTGCCCCCCGTGAAGCCAGGCGGACAAACTGCCCGGTGGAGGCCTTCCCAAATTCCTTACCCACAAAGCCACATAGAAAATAAATGGTTCTAAACCACTAAAAAAATAAAAATAAAGTAACAGCACCTA